GAACTTATTTATTTAACCTGTAATAGTCTTTGTCATTTCTAACAAAGAGAAATTTCTTTGCTCCAACCAAGAGTTGGTTCCTGAGTATCAGTAAAGCTCTCTAACAGTGACCATTTGACACCACTGGACAACTGGTCATACATGCAAGGTATCAGACTTTACTTGAAGCAGAGACTCTGGCCCAAAGCTGAGCAATCTATATTTCCCCAATACTTTGAATAGTCCTGGTAGAGCCAAAGTTTGTAAATCTCTGGTGTAGAAAAGTCTGTGATACTTAGAAGTGCCTTTAGCCACAAAGTTGCTGAACGTCCATTTCCCAGTTCATCATTAAACCAAATTGTAATTTCTCTTTGATGTGAAATTCATTCACTATAAAAGTTTCTTTTCATCACATGAAGCATCTATTAGTTTTCATATCTATTCTTTCCTTTTATTTCAGATCCTGTTATTTATGACCAGGGAAAGACTCCTCTGTAATTTCAAACAAAAAAATTATGTGACATGTCAAACAAAGCACACTCATTATAAACTCTTCATAAAGAAAAAGACTGAGCTATAGGCACAATGCCATTTTATGACGTAGTTACTACAAAGTGGAGCTCTAAAGTCTTCTAGCTTTTATGTCTAACTCTTAACACCACAGGCATACAGCTGTATGGTCAGTGATGCTACAATTAACTACTGAATGGATGAGAGCCCAGCTCTTGCTTTCACATACAACTAAGGCCCTTGAAGGAAAGCCTGTTGTCTCACCATACCATGGTACGTGGATCCGGATGACATATTAAGATCTGAAACTGTAAACACATGATAACATATAAACCAGGCATGCTTAAATTTTACTGCCTCCATCTCACCTGGTAGAAGTCATAAGGCAGAGAACCACAGAAACTTTAGAAAAATTGACAAAAACTAAAATGAACAAGGAGAAAAGCCAGCTTTGTCCTGCAGGTGCACAACGGGGAGCCCACATCACCCACACACGTGTGTACATACACACAGGTGCAAACACACATGCATACTTATTCACAGGGAAATTACTGATTTATTTAGAAAGTTAGTGCTCCTCAGTTAACGGACCCAGATTATTCATTTTTGTTTATATGAGCTCAAATACATTGTCTTAGTAATGTTAACAGTTTTGAAAAGAACAAGCTATGGCCATGGAATGTATTTCATGTTGTCGTCTCAAGCTGTACTCACAGGGCATTTTCTTTTGATGACTCACCTTGGTTTCTCTGCAACTATTATAATTTTATGTTTTTCCGTCCAATCAAAATCACTACCAAGATACAAACACACACACACACATGTTCAAGAGCAAGGTGTATCAACTTGGTAGTTTCTCTTCCGGCCTGGAAAGGACTATGATTATCAACCTATTTGCCTGGTGGTCATACATGGTTGCTTCAAATTTTCTTCAGTGTTCAATATTTTATGTGCCTTCTCAAGAAACCTATTTAGTAGTTGGAGGAATTCCAAATGACAAAGCACAATTAATACCCCTTTCATAAGCTCAGTTTCCCATGGAATCATCCAAATCACCTTACTTTCTTCAATGTTGTCAAAACTACGTTCTGAAAACATGCTATTATATTTAATGATAACACATGAAAAAAGTGTTTCATATCCAAATGAAGGAAAATATTTTATATCAGCATAGCTGGGCACTTTGAATGGCTTTAAATAAAGCAGTAAGTATTAGCCCACATTCAATGACTCTTAATATTCTTATGTTATCACAGGTGATGGGCACACAGCTGGAATTACAGTTTTACATACACAGATAAAATACCGTTCTGCAGGAGCATTTGTGTCAGAGCTATCTGCTCTGTTCAGAAAACTGCTGCACACACCACACACACACCACACACATACAGACACACAGACACACAGACACACAGACACAGGCACACACCATACACACACACACACAATATTAAAGTGAATGTGAAAATCCAATATAACTAATTTTATGTATAGATCAAAGAAGAAACCAAAAATATCTTGCAGGTAACTCTCAGTCAAAAAGAGCTTGTCTCTGAAGGACCTTTGGTTGTGTATGAATATGAGTTGCCTAGGGAGGGTGGCACTGTCACACAGCAGGCTGGAGCCAAGCCAGAGGAATCTCCCCATGAAAGAAATTATATAGATTAAAATAACAGCACAGGTCAGAAGGAGTGACCCTGACCTAGAGAAAAATAACATACTTTTCACTCAATATAAATGGGCCATAGTTGCTATAATTTCTGTTACCCACATGGGAAATGAGAACTTCCATCACAGGTGTATGGCCCCATGAGTCAAGTGAAATTCCCCTCTACCCAATCCACTCTAATTTCCAAGGCCTCCAAAGAGTTTTTACCCCAGTGCTGAAAACATAGCTAATTGGTTTGGATCAGCAGAGCATCTGCAATGGAGGTTTCTTTTTGTGCTGAGATTCAGAGTTATATATCTCATACCCTGTGTGAGTTGTGAGTGTCCAGGTTGGCTAGTGTTGATTCAAATATTGTCAAGTTTTTAAAGAAATTGATTTTCCTGGGAAAATTAGATAATTCGTTTAGGAGTAGAATTAAAAATTTCAGTCAAGTGTGGTGACTAATACCTTCAATCTTAGCACTGAAAACAGAGACAGGAGGATGACCATGAGTTTGAGGCCAGTCTATGCTTGAGAGTAAGATATTGTCTCAAAAATTAACAACAAAGAAAGAATGTTAAAATGTTAATGTACACAATTATCTATAGGTGTGTTTAATATCTTTAAAAAAACATGACAATAATATCTTCCAAAATAAACTGTATTTCCTAGAGAATCCTGCCAATATTTCTAAAGATAGGATGTATCGGGTGTTTGTCATGCATCTTCTCTGTGCTCACACAGCTACCAGTTCTCATGGGGATACTTATAAATAAGAAAATGGGCTTTCATCTCACCCTGTTTAAAAACAAAAGAAAACAAAACCAAACCACAATACTGAAACTGAGGAAAGAATTCCCAAAGGTCTAACACAATGTATGCAGGCACTTACCTTCCTTTCTTCTAGGCCTCCTCCTGAGCAAATCAAAACTACAGGAAAGTGAGCAAACACCTTCAGAACAGAAAAAAAAAAGCCAAACAGAAGCTGCAGATGAGTCCAGAAGAAAGGATTCAATTCTCAGCAGAATTCTGTTGATCGTCATATGTATACAGTTGTCAGAAAGATCTGAGATTGACATCACTTTGCTTTATGAACAATATCCTCAGGCAATTTCAAACACACACTCTTATCTAGGTTGGATGGTAATTCCAGTTTGCTGTGTGTGTTTTTGATAAGGGTATTTCTCCTCAAACATTTCTACAGCATCCTCTCTGAGTGTGCAAACCTGTAATTAAGCCAACGACACTCTCTAGCTAGTCTGATGACTTAGGAGACAGTTTTAGGACTTCCTGCTTCCCACTTCATATGAGTCACAATGTACAATTTCTGTGCTTACTATCATTTCTAGGATTCTATTCAATTTTATAAAAATAAGCATAAGGCTAAATTATAAACCGAGAACCGCAAGTGCACCCCAGCGCATGCAGCACATGTGTCTCTGGACCGCTGAGGAGTTTTTTTTAGATGCAGTGTCTTCTTTGAGCTCTCAGCAGGGAACAGAAGTCAGGGGCCTGGTAACTTACTTTTCTTTTGTTTTGCTTTGAAGTAAGGAAGCAGAAGGAAGGAAAATCAAACATGGAACTGTTAAATCTAGGAGCCAATTGACTGGGAAGTGGAGTCATGGGTTCTGGGGCATGGGCACTGAGTGAGGAAAGGATTCAGGGATGACTCCTTACCATGCCACATAGCACATCCTGAGGAGTGGGGTCCTTCTTACCATGCTCTGGGAAGTCTGCTCTTCCCTGCTCTGGTTCCAGTAGCCATGTCTGCAGCCACCTGATTCCAACCCTTCGCTGATTTTACCACCACAGGAAAAGAAATTATAGCTTTCAACTCTCCACTTTATTCCTCTTACCTATATTCCTCCAGTTCCAATCTGTTTGCCCTCTTCACAAATCTGTTTTGTTTTGTTTTGTTTTGTTTTGTTTTGTTTTGTTTTGTTTTGTTTTG